AACGCGTCGGGGGCCCACGCGTGGTGCTAGAGTGTCGGTTTCCGACGCCCGTGGTAAAACGCACATCTCACCAACATTTAACCTCTAACTTCTTCTTATTTTACCATCCCCTCACCTCCATCCTAACCTTAACCCTGTTTCTCATTCTAAACTTCCCGTAAACCGTGTGTGAGAGGGACGTTACAACAAGGAGCAAAGTTTTGCAGCGCAAGAGGGTTAAGGTTAGGATTGGGGTGAGGGGAACGTTATATAGCAAGAGGTTAAAGGTCAGACTTCGGTGAAATCTCCATTTTACCACGGCCGTCAGAAACCCACGCTCTGGCACAGCTCGTTGCCTCCAGACGCGTTGGGGCTCTACTCATTGGGAAACAAAGCTTGGTCACCCATCGTTGGTTTTCGACGCTTCTGGTGTAAGAATGTGTTGGATGGTGATGAGTTACGATGTAGCCACAGCTGCCCTGGGGCACACTGGCCGAGGCGAGGCCTGCTAAACACAGGCGCCACCAGTCCCTCTGACCACCACCAGCAGGAAAGGCGAGTTGTGTCTTGTCCGAGGACACAACAGCAGCGTTTTGTTGTCTAATTGTTTTTATTTATTGTTACGGGCCGATATGATCGGCGTGTTCAAGCGGAGGAGCCCCACCTTGACCAATGAGTCAAATAAAAACTAATAAATACACCTGAAAACAATTCTTACCTTTAGTTTACCTCCACATTATTAGAGTACATTTAATGTTTGGATGGTAAGATGTCATTTCCAGTCATGTTTACAAATATTACTGAACATTATACAGATTTTGTTTATTTTATTAATACTGAGAGGCCCAATTTCAAACAGTCAGCACTCCATTTTAATGTATTCTAATGATTATTAACATAGAAACAATTATAGAGTTTTATTGATCCAAAGTGTGAAATATGAATAAAAAATTTCTTTACAGTTTCAAGTAGGCATGGTTAACATTTCCTTTACAAGGAAGTAAAAAAATTATTGCATCAGCAAGTTTTAGTTTTAACCAAGACCCCACAATGCGGCTCTAAAATTGGGCCAAACCCGGAAGTACCATAATTTGCAGTTCCACCCTCATCCACTAGGGGCTGGTGTCAGAAGCGAGCAAATCCTCATTGACTCCCATGTTAAAAATACCAATTTCACAGCAGAAATAAACATGTTTACAGCCTGGTACCAAAACATGTTTTTTTGTTTAAATGATCTAGTTTACACTCATGACAACTCTGAGGGGGGGTGATTTTTTTTCTCACTCTTCTAAGTGTAAAAGCCTAAAATTCTGTATAATTAATGAGCATCAGACCCACGTGACCACAGAGCTAGCTCCGTGGAAAGGCCTCAGTTGAGCCTCGGTCTGGCTTGGAAACTGTTCCGGCATTTCGAGTCTCTGTGTTTGTGTATTCTTGTTTGGATATTATTTGTGCAATTGTTGGACAAAATGACTTGCTGTGGCATTAATTGCACTAATAGAGCGCCCAAGGAGTCTCCACATCATTTATTTCGGTAAGTAAAATTATATTTATGTATTTTAGGTCACTGCCGAGCTGAGCTTAGATTTTAACAAGTACTGTTTAACCATGAAATTTAAATGTAATAGGGTAAAACCCAGTGCATTTAACATAAAGCTGCACTTTAGAAAATGGGTTGAAATATAACATGTTGGTGGAGCTGGGTTCCGACTATCGGCTTGTGGAGCTCTCGGGAGACCGATGTTTTCCACCCGTTTCTCCCCTTCCCGCAGCTCGGCGCATCTCTGTCTGATCGCGGCTCCTGACTGCTGCGCGGGCTGCCGGCTTGTGGAGCTCTGGGATGGAAACCTTTCCACCCGGTTCTCCCCAGCTGCAGCTCTGCACATCTCAGATCACAGCGGCGCTTGTCTGCTGTGCAGCTGCCGGCTTGTGGAGGTCTCGGAGACCTCTGTGTTCCACCCGGTTTTACCCAGCGGTCAGCCCGGCGTCTGACTCAGAAGCTCTGGTGTTGTGCACAGTTAACTCCGGTTGTAGCTAGGTTGCTACTTCCGTTAGCTTAGCTCCCACCTCTGCATTAATTTGGGTTAGCTTCAGGTTAGCTTGTAGCTAGTTTGACCGGGTGTCGTCAGTTGATCCCAACCTTACAGCCCCACCCTCAGCTCCACCTCTCTTCCCTTTTTTGGAATTGTCTGGGCTTGACGGAACCTGTGACACGGTCAAAATGGCGGTGGTGGCCACCTCCCATTTTAGTACAAAAACTTATTATTGGAGTCTACGGAAACCCATTGTCCAGTATAAGTATGTCGATGGTTTTAACTCTTCTTCAATCAGTAGGGGATTAACAGGCTTCTGCAAAGCAGCTGCTGCACAGGTGATTCAACCTCTGACTCTAGTGTGTTGGAGCAGAGAAACCACCAAAACGTGCTTTTTACCAGCCCTCCAGGACAAGGGCACCCCTGCATTAGAGAGGTGGGAACACATTTTGTCTTGTGACAGACCAGTGATCAAACCTTTAGCCAGTTACTAGAAAAAGATAAATGTGGTTCTTTGTTAAGTTGTGTGTTATGTGTTAGGCAGCGTCGTCCCTTCAGTGTGGGATCCTTTTAATGAGTCAAGGTTAAAGTTAAGTAGTCCAAAAATAAAATGTTCAGGTTCACCAAGTGATAGTAAGAGAGGAATCAGCCAAAGTCCAAATAAACACTCTGATAGACTTTCAGTGTGCCTGAGGAAACATCAGTTTAGACCATTCAAATACATTGATAATAAGGCTTAGCTCCTTAGAAACAAAATACAAAGAAAGAGATGACTCAAGGCATTTTTGGAACATGCAAAAACGAGGCCAGATGCATTTTGTGTGTGAAGGCTGAGGAAACAAGGCTTATTTATTTCCTTCCTGAAAGTGATGAAAGAATTAGGGTTTAAACAGTTAAAAGAAAATGAGTTACATTTTTAATTAGGAGTTAAATGCAAATTTTCTGCAAATGTTAAAAAAGCACAATAAACTTTAACAGAGGAGATGAGCTTAAACAGGAATTTCTAATGTACCTGAAAAAGTGGACTCGTCATGCTTATGTTTCCTTGTTCCCTTACTTTTGTCGGGGCTTGTTGTAACTTTTTAGGGTAAAAAGCCGTTTATAGATCGCAAAAACTACAGATGTAAATGTGCAACAGCCGTTTACTGCTCACACACGTTTTAATAACCAGATCTAGAGTGAGTCGAACAAAGAAAATATAGTTACACACCACTGAACTGAACGGTCTGATTCTCCTTTTGTTTAACTTTTCTTCTGAGTTGGAGACTAAAACTAAAACAAACACACACACACACACACACACACACACACACACACACACACACACACACACACACACACACACACACACACACACACACACACACACACCCACACACACACCTGGTGGTTTAGTAGGCAGCCACTGACCACGCTGCTCTCGGAGCTGCTCTACCTGATAAGCAGAGGTAGAGACTCTCTGACACATCTGTCTGCTTGATGAGCCAAGTGTCAAAGCCCCCCAAAGTGCTGGATGAAGTGCATCAATAAACGACTTTAATCCCCTCCTGGGGCCAATGTCCTCCCACTAATAAGGGATCGTTTTACACCGCTGGCAGTAAGGAGAGAGGTAAAAGTGCTTTGGCATGCGCCTCAGCACGCGGATGTGCGCCGCGCTGGGAATTGTCTGTACAAAAGTAACAGGCTGTAAATCACAAGCGCCGGCTGTTGCCTTAATTGCCAGACTGAATTGGTGTTTGTTTCCTTCTCCTTGTTTTACCCTTTTCTGTTGCCCTCTCTTGCCCTTTTATTTCTTCGAAAACCATGGCTGTTTGTTATCACTAGCACTCCATCTCTCTAACACCTCCTCAATTTTTGTATTTCAAGCTATTTCCAACACGAATCCAGCTCAGTCCCAGACAGCCTCAGTTGCTAGACAGAAAAAAAAACACAAGGAAAATGGCATTGGTTGTGCTGAAGGACATGTGGGTTGCAAGTGTCCGCAGGGGAGATCCAATGAGTGTCCTAGCCAAAATGACCCTAATTAACCACATATTATCTGCAGGCTGTGTGGAGGATTAAGGCCCTCAGTTGTGGGCCAAACAGGCCTGGAGATCCACACAGAGAGCCCACTTCTCATTCTGCCTTAAAGCCTCGTAGAGAGAGGTGGGGGCATGCAGAAAGCAGAGAGGAGGGTGCATATGTGCAGGTCAGCAATTATAAACTACAATGTACAGCGTGTGTGTGTGTGTGTGTGTGTGTGTGTGTGTGTGTGTGTGTGTGTGTGTGTGTGTAGTAAACCGTTTGCGGCATCCTCAAAAAGAGGAAGACAATATTTGAATGTGCCCCCCCCCCACACACACACACGCACACACACACACACACACACCCCTCACTAAGCTGCTGTTTGAACAAATTGAAGTTACTGTAGGAGGAGAGAATCATTATTCTACTGAGAGATAATGAGCTCATATTCCCACCTGACATTAGAAAGCCAAGAAATGAGCGCTTCACCGTGTTGACAGGTTGTCACATACACAGCATCAACAATGCTATGCAACACAATCCGGGGACTACACCGCATCCCCCATTGATGCGGCACAATAAGCAGCTCCCGCGGGCAGCCGGAGAGCCTGATTTGGGTTAAAAACACTTTAGCAGCAGCTGTGACATACCTCATTTCAGATGAAAGACGAGCCAATATCAACAACACGATTAAACACAAGATTAACTGGCACCAACCAGTCAACTGTTGGATGCCTCCAAAGGTTATTGCCCATAAAAACGTCATTGCTTTAAGTGGGGTGTGTTATTACAAGTGTGATGTGCTGCAAGTGAATATATTTCATATTTACATAACAAAAATATTGTATTAACATGTGCCGTGTTGCTGGTTCAAGCCTGCGCAGGGCTGTCAAGGAGAATTACTGGTGAATTTAAACTTGTGAGTCAGCCTAACAGAGTTTCAGGGTGTAATTCAGTTTGTATTCACCCCGACTCCTGACTTACCCCGATCGGTGTCGTACAGGTAAACAAACTTCTGCCACTTGTAGTGGGAGAGCAGGCTGAGCACGGCGCCCCGGAGGGCGGGCCGCATCTGGATGACAAACTGCACCTCGTTATCGGTGGGGTAACTGGGCGTGACAAAGGAGGTGTGCAGAGCGCCGCAGAACGAGGTCAAGGTGTTCATGGACTTCTTGTCGTAGAATCCGAAGATGGCGTACACCCCGCGGGAGAACTGAGAGCAAACTGCAGGGAGAGCAGAGCGCAGGAGAACAAGCATCAGCGGGAATTCACTTTCAAAGCCACACCTTCAGGCGGTCACAGTTTCACTGTGACAAACAAATAATGGAAGATCAATGATTCCTGCTACTCTGAATGCTCCGTTGGGCTTTTGATGAACCACTGACCACATGAAAAAGGATCAAAATACAGAAAAAACATGAAAAAATATGTTCTTGTTTTATTTCTCCGTGTTAATATCAAGATAAAACTGTTTCAAGTCAGGAATTAACACGATTTTGATGAAATTTTCATTGAAAAAGGAAAGATTTTTGTTAGTTAAAGGTGCTAAAACGCAATGCTTTGAATCATTTCAGGACATTTTACATTTACCATTTATATATAAAAAAAAAACCTAAAAATAAATCTACTAAAATTTGCTCTGACCAAATATTAAACAGTAAGTGGTAAAAAAAATAAAAGGAAGCGCAAAATACAAAAGAATAACGTGTATGCACAAACAAACCATAATAAACCATAATAAATATGAATCTTATGTTCTATAAAACTGAGAATTTTGAATATAAACGAGTTGCATTGGGAAAAAACATTCACAAACAGCTTTTTATAAACTGCAGTTAAAACACAAATCATGATCATATAGTTAAAACACATTTCTGACTCACCAGAAAAGATCTGGCCATTCTAAAATAAATGAACCAATAAAAAAACTTAGAGCTTATACAAAGAATAGTAAAGATTTTTGTTTGTTTCTGTTTCCATTTTGTTTCCTGCAAAAGGAATAAAGGGTCTTATTACAGAGTGTGATGAGTCGTTGCAGCATGAACACGAGGACATGCAGCTCTCCACCAGGTGCTGCAGACACAGGCTTGCATGTTGCAGCATGAATATTAGAGAAGCGGCCAAAAACCCAGATAGAAACATGACAGCATTGGATGGAGGCTTCCAGCTCCCAGCAGTTATCGCTCTGCTCCTTCATCCAAAGTGAACAAGTCACTGCGGCACTCGCAGCAGCTGTGAGTGCTGCTGCTTCCTGTCCTCGCTTCACTTCACTCCTTCCAAAAGAGCTGCAAGAGACAGCTTCTTTGTATCTTCAGAATATGTTTTAAACAGTAAACGTGAACACAATCACACCTTCAGCAACCTCAAACATTCGGTTTTGCTGGTTTTCTGGTTGTGATAATTATGAAAAAAGACTAATTTCACGGTCAGCGATTGAAATGAGGAGGTGAAAACCTTTATCTAATCCATTAAAGGCCACAAAAGAAGTCTAGCTAGCCATTATTTACACCCTTGGAATAACTGTGTGAGCCCACCATCCTTTTAGGGAACAGTTTCAATAACCCATCTTTCCCTCTGATGAGACAGCATCGCCCATTATGATCGAGTTGCTCCTGAAGTCAGAAGCCAATAAAGGGTAAACTAATATTAAGCGCTACAGGTGTGTTTTGCTCGCCTGCTCAATCATGAACGACTGCTCGCACATTCTGATTGACTCTCAAGTGCTCCCACTGGGTAATCAAACATCCTCAACATCCATAAACACTTTGAATATCAGAGCAGCAGTTTGGTTGGCAGGGATGAGGACTCTATCAGATGTTATGCTATAGGTGGGACAAATGTTTGTTTGATTGTCTGACGGAAAGACAATTGATTTGACTCTTGTCTTAAATTAGAGCCTCGGGTATGCATCCACTGAGCAGCAATCAGCCACCAACATGACGGTCTGGGTTTTACACCTTCATTATAATCAGAGGGAAGTCACGGACAAACGGCCACTAAAATAATCTGTATTCCTTCTTATCTGTCTGCTCATGAGTGCTAGAGATCGACAGGTGGGACTTTCTAATGCTGAGGTCATGGTCTGCCAGTCTTCTGAGCAGATTTTTATGGTCATACTCAGGCCTAGTCCACACGTAGCCGGGGTTTTTTCAAACGAATATCCGCCCCTCCAAAAACTTGCATCCACACCACCTCGTTTAAAAAGAAACTCTGTCCACACGTACCCAGATAAATACGTTGTTAAGGACATGCCAGACCTGTAGGCGGCAGTACTTCCCCCGTTCTTAACCTCGTCCTTCGTCTGTGGTCTTCCGCAAGGAGCAGTAATTCCGCTTGCAAAAACAAACAAGCAGAAAGCGCTTGGACAATTGATGGATCGGGTAGTGACAGAGCGCAGCTCTGAGGGCATCCATGCTGTCGGCTAGTGTAAACACAGGTCGCACACGTGATGTCAGCATTTTTTTGTTGCGGAAAGTGACGTTGCGGACCTTAAAACTCCGGTTTTGTCTGTCCACACGCAGACACCCAAAACGGAGAAAAGGCAGATCTTCACTTTGGCCGGAGTTTTTAAAAAGATCCGTTTTCGTGTGAAAAAACTCCGTTTTCATGTGGATGACAGGCCAAAACGTAGAAAAATATCTACGTTTTGGCAGATCCCCGGCTACGTGTGGACAGGGCCTCAGACGTTTTATGCCTTATTTGCTAAAATGTCACTAACAGCAGTTCTAACAACAGTGTAATTCGTTTTGAACACTGGGTTTAAAGGTGCCATAGAAATGTTTTTTACGTATCTATTATTATACAACTGGAACCTGTTCTTTGAGCCTCTTTGTAGTAAATTAAACTTTGCTGGGCCAAATGAGGGATGAAAGACCACAAGCTGCAGATCCATCTAGCATTTCTTCATTGTCTGGATATTCCCAGTACATCCTGGAAGGTGGGTGGTCCTCCAACATGCTTCTTTGTTCGCCTCTCGTCCAACAAGGCTAGGCAGCTCAAGCAGTAGCTCAGGCTAGTGTTGTTCTGCGGTTAGCATTTCCTTTACCAGCGTTTATGTATTGTTGATGTTAATGCGGGTTGGGAAATGCTAATTTAAGGGGTTGTGATCTGTTGTGAGTTTTCTCAGTGGCCATTACAACATTAATAACTGACATAAGAAGCAGGCCGGAGAGGGCACAGACCTTTTGGTATGCAGCATTAGACACCCCAAGCTGCCTATATTTACCAACAACAAGGCAAATGTGGTCTGCTTCAACCAGCTGTTGAATTTTCATTTTGTACACTGTATGTAGGAACATACAGTAAGTAAACATTTGAATAAAACTTTAAAAAGCAGCACTGGGCTGGCCACAGGTTTGACTGACTACAAAACAGCTCTAATGATGAGGTACATCGGACAATGCCAATTTATTCAAAAAGGTAGATATCGGCCAGATATATTAGTTGACTGATCTATTGATCTATCCCTGATAAGTACTAATGAGTGCCTATGTGAATACATTTAAAGGACAATATTATGGTGCACGTGTGTTTTTTCTATTAAACACAATTACTGCATGAATAAAAGATCTGAGCCCGGAGGGATTTGCCTCATCCACTTTGTCTATACCCTCCCTTTCTGTCCTTAGAGAGGCACCTCTTCCTAGTTACACACACACACACACACACACACACACACACACACACACACACACACACACACACACACACACACACACACACACACACACACACACACTAGCCAACATAATGGTGCAGACATACAAGCACAGACAGACACAACTGAGCCTCTTGATAAGTCACTCAACAGATGGACAGCAGTATTGTGGGCAAGTGCTGCAGGGTCAGTGGTGCAGTCTTCTAAAATGAATGGGAGCCAATGAGAGTTCCAGCCCTTGTCAGGGCCCGGTTTCCTTTGCGCTCTCTCTTAATTTGGGCCAGCACTGACACAAGACCTATCCTAAGGGACCAGATCTGGCACCATATTTATCTCAGCTGAGCTCTCCCCCAGCTTTTAAGGTTGAACTCTGAAAATGCCCCAACCTCCAGTTATGTCCCTACAGTCCCCTCGCTGAGCCCTTCACTTCAGTTTTATCACTCTCAACTCCCCCCCCACCCCCCCACCCCCCAGCCCCATCTCTTTGTGCCGAAGCCTTTTGATGTTCACCATCTTATTGCAGCAGAAATGTTTCTTTGTGCTACAGCAACTCCTAAAGCAATGCCATTTCTAAGGATCTTAGATTGGATTGTGGCTTGCACAAGTGAGGTTGGAAGGGATGTTCCAGACAAAAAATACTGTTGTTTTCCTTTGGGGGGTCCTGCTCTAGTCACTGTCTCTGCACCTGACCTGCCAGCATCCAGCATATCTGCCCTTTTAACAGCCACGCTGAACTCTTTGCCTTAGAGCAACCCTGCCCTAACAACACCCTCCCACTTACCCACCTTCCCCATACTCAGCCCTCATGAGCATGCAGGCTGAGGCTGGTTCTACAGCTCCACAGAGCTAGTTTTTGTAGCAACACAAAAGCAGTACCCTATAACTCAAGCCACAGCTGTTCTAACACTACATACAATTAATGGAAGCAGGTCTATTGATTTTCAGTAGAGCACTTTAAGCTGAGCTGTGCAGATGTCTAATTTTCTCACTTGTAATCACTACTGGCCCTTTTTCCAATTAGAAGCCTACAGCCCCGGCAACACTAACTTGGATGTTTGGCAAACAAACAATGTTTCTGCTGTTGTTTGTTCTTCTTATCCACATACAAAATGTGCTTCTAGTCAGAAAAAATGGGAACACTACAAACTTATTCAAAATGTTTAAACCCTCTCAGGCTCAAAATAAGTTTTGATAAAAGGATGAACAACTAAGTCCCTCAGCGGTACTTCTGAGTTAAAAAATGCTCATGAACTACGTGTGTGGAGTAACTAGGTAGGTGGGTTTTAACGTTGCAAATCTGCAACGCCGGCCTCCAGAGGGTTAACCCATACCGAACCACCCACGTACATCAAATGAAGAAACTTAAGATGAGGTAAAAGCCTCTTTTATGCATACACAGTGCTGGTTTCTGAGCTAAAAACCACCATGATGGTTCTGCGTTTACCTGGTTTTCACATCTAAAGCAACAGTTACACTGGTAAGTGATTGTCACTTGAGTGACCTGTTAAGAGCAAGGTTGCCTGTTATTTGGGAGCTTTGTCAAACTGAGCTCTTTGTGGTTCTCCTT